TTATCCTGAGATATTTATTTTTTTTGCAGCTATTGTGAAGGGGAGTGTTTTCATGTGCTCTTTCTCTGATTGCTTGTTATTGGGATATAGAAAGGCTACAGATTTTTGTAGGTTAATTTGTAACCTGCCACTTTACTGAACGTGTTAATAATTTCTAGGAATTTTCTGGCATAATTTTTGGCATCTCAGATATCATATCATGTGCAAAAAAGGATAATTTGATCTCTTTTTTCCATTTATTACTCCTTTAATTCCTTCTCTTGTCTTATTCCTCTTGCAAGAGTTTCAAGCACTATGTTCAAGAGCAGTGGAGATAGTGGACAGCCTTGTTTGTTTCCTGATTTCAATGGGAATGCTTCCAGTTTTTCTCCATTTAGAATGATGTTGGCTGTGGGTTTGTTATATATGCCTTTAATTATGTTGAGGTATGTTCCCTCTAGTCCACTTCCCTCTATGACTTTGAACATACATACATGTTGGATTTTGTCAAAGGCCTTCTCTGCATTTATTGAGATGACCATGTGGTTCTTGTCTTTGAGCGCATTTATATGATTTATGACATTTATTGACTTACGTATATTGAATCATCCCTGTATCTCTGGGATAAAGCCAACGTGATCATGGTGGATGATCTTGTAGATATGTGTCTGTATGCAGTTTGCAAGTATGTTGTTGAGAATTTTTGCATCTATGTTCATTAAGGATATGGGTCTATAGTTTTCTTTGTAACTTATATCTTTACCTGGCTTTGGTACTAGAGTGATGCTGCCCTCATAGAAGGAATTTGGAAGTTCTCCCTCCAGTTCTATCTTTTTGAATAAATTAAGTAGTATTGGATGTAGATCTTCTTTAAATGTCTCATAGAATTCTGCTGTAAATCCATCTGGTCCTGGCCTCTTTTTAGTCGGGATGTTTTGTATTACTGTTTCAATTTCTTTTCATGTTATGGGTATGTTTAAGCTGTTAATCTCTTCTTGGTTTAGTTTTGGTGGTTCCTATGCCTTTAGATATCCGTCCATTTCTTTTAGGTTTTCAAATTTAGTAGCACAAAAGTTTTTAAAGTATTCCTTATAATGTTCTGTATCTTTCTAGTGTCTGTTGTGATGTTTCCCCTTTCGTCTCTGATTTTGTTGATTTGGAGGTGCTCTTTCTTTCTTTTGGTTAAGTGAGCTAGCAGTCTGTCAATCTTGTTTATCTTTTCAAAGATCCAACTCTTGGATTCGTTGATTCTTTATATTGTTTTCTTTGTTTCAATTTCATTAATTTCTGCCCTGATTTTTGTTATTTCTTCTTGTCTGCTGGGTTTGGGTTTCATTTGTTGTTGCTTTTCAAGTGTCTTGTGTTGCAATGTTTAGTCATTTATTTGTGCTCTTTCCAATTTTTTAATGTAGTCACTTAGAGCTATAAACTTCCCTCTAAGGACAGCTTTCAACATGTCCCAGAGGTTTTGTTGTGTTGTATTGTCCTTTTCATTTAGTTCCAGGAATACTTTTCTTTTCTTAATTACTCTTTTGACCCATTCATCATTTAGGAGTGTGTTATTTAATCTCCATGTGTTCATGTGGTGATTAGGGCTTCTTCTGGTGTTGATTGTAAGTTTTATTCCATTGTGGTCTGATAGAATGCATGGAATTATTTCAATTTTTATGTATTTGTTGAGGCTTGTTTTGTGCCCCCATATATGGTAAATTTTGGAGAAGGTTCCATGGGGTGCTGAGTAGAAAATATGTCCTTTGGTTCTTGGGTGGAATACTTGGTAGATGTCTGTTAAGTCCATTTGATATATGGTATTGTTTAATTCAGATGTCTCTCTATTAACTCTCTGCCCTGTGGACCTATCTAATGGAGACATTGGGGTATTGAAGTCCCCTACTATTAATGAGTTGGGATTAATCAGGGTCTTAAAGTCCTGTAGTATTGTTTTTGTGTAGTTGGGTGCAACAGAGTTTGGTGAATATATGTTCATAATTGTAATATCTTCTTCAGTCATTGTTCCTTGGATCAGAATG